CGAAACCACAGCCAATGGAACTGGCTTGGAAAAATCAGCGGGGAAAGAAGTCTGATGTGCTTTCAGGTTTATAAAATGACCAGTATAAACATATTAAACAGGTCACGTCTAGTACTTTATTATTTATCGATTGGATAGTATTAGTATTAGCATTTTTCGCTTTTCAAGTGCAGAATACTGGAACAACTTGAGAGTGTTGAATAGAAGGCTATTATTTGAATTTTGGGATAATTTACTTGATTTAAAGAGAGTGTATCTACTTGAAAATAAAATTTTGGAATGTAGAATATGAGAAAAGTCTGATTTTTTTTTTTTTCTGGTTAATTTTGCAGTTAACGAAAACAAAAATGAAAAAATAACAACAAAAATCTATTTACTGTTGAATTATTCGTAACTGTCAATTTCATAATAAATCTGTTTAGAAAAGTATATTTTTACAAAATTTTATTTCAGGCCAAAAAGAATCGTGAGATTGCAACGCTCCAAAGGAAGATAGATGAAGTTCCTCACGAGCTGAGCTTAACCAGTACCAGCGTCGTTTTATCGAGCTGTATAACCAAGGTCTGATTTAATCACTGTTTATTGCTGGTGTAACTTGTGTATCAGCTGTGTAATAGGCAAATTATTACAATCTGGGATCCAACCTGGGTGTTTGCAACTTCCAGATCTCTTGGTTGGCTGGAAGAACTTGTCTAAATGTTTTAATTATTCATCAAAGATTAGAATTACAGTAACAAGTATAAACACTATTACTCCTTAGATGATAAGTGTTTTCTTTAAATTCTTTTCAGTTTCAGCAAGACACAGAGAAACCAAACAGTTTTACACCCTGTACAACACGCTGGATGATACTCGCATGTACTTGAACAAAGAGGTGAATATTTTTAATACTAGCTTAAAACATGCATATAAATTTTTTTGTTACCGAAAATTGTATCTGAAGTCAATTTAAAAAGCAAACAATTTTGTTACTTTCTAAACTTTTCTACACTGTAAGTTATTTCTTTATTGTAAATATTGTGGACTCAAATTTAAATTAAGAAAATCATGCTTGCAACCGAAAGTTATCATTTCCTGAAGGTATGAATAAAACTCGTTATTCAACTCGACTAGTTCTTTTCACTTTCCAGAGAATATTTTTATGGTTTAACTTGTCTACGAAGAATTTTCATATCCAACGTGGATATCAGTTTAGGAACTTTTTGTTTGTAGAATGTTCAACAATGTTATTTTATAAACTTGCTCAGTCTCACTTTTCAAATACATCACAAGATGGTTTCTACTACAATTATATATAATCTACCATAAATGAATACTTTGAAAAACCATTGTTGATTAAGTGAATCAAATTTTTATCACACATCTGTGCAAGTACAGTATAACTGTGGTGGATTGTTAGGAAGGAACCTGCTTCCAAATAATCATTGTTACCAATCGTAACTGTAGTGGATTGTTAGGAAGGAACCTAATTCCAAATAATCATTGTTGCCAATCGTAACTGTAGTGGATTGTTAGGAAGGAACCTGCTTCCAAATAATCATTGTTACCAGTTGTAACTGTAGTGGATTGTTAGGAAGGAACCTGCTTCCAAATAATCATTGTTACCAATTGTAACTGTAGTGGATTGTTAGGTAGGAACCTAATTCCAAATAATGAGTTACTAGGTGTATCAACAGTAAATTGTTAGAATTACTTTTTTTTTTAAAGAGCTATTTTTACTAATGTATATAAAGTGCTCTTATTTCACAACATGATGTTAGTTCTTTCATTGACTTTTATTACTGTTTTAAAGGTGAATCTGTTAAATTCCATTCTGGACAACTTTACAGAGTAAGTAAATTTATATATCTTGTTTATTGTTATTATTATTCTGTAATGTTAAAGGTGCTGGTAATTTTGGAAATACAAACATTTCCATGGTCTGTCAAACAAGTATCTGTAGCTTGAAATAAGGGTGAAAGAAATAATATTCCAGATGTTTGGAGTAGTGTTTAAAATTAATACAAAATTTTACCTCTGTCATATAAAAAAAACAAATAAAGATAATGACTAAACACGATTGTGCCAGTAAGCCTCAAAAGTCACTCACTGTATTTTGGTTAGTACATTTGTGAGAAGAAAAAAAAAGAGTTCTGTGTTTTTTAATTCTGACGTTAATATGTCAGATGACTTTTATTAACTGATTCAGTACTTGAAATAAAATGGCCAAGGGGTTAGGCCACTTGACTCTCAATCTGAGGTTTGAATCCCCATCCTACCAAACATGCTTGCCTTTTCAGCCATGTGGGTGTTATAATGTTATGGTCAATTCCACTATTCGTATATAAAAGAGTAGACCCAGAGTTGATGGTGATGACTAGCTGCCTTCCCTGTAGTCTTTCACTGCTAAATTAGGGACAGCGAGCACAGATAGCTTTGTGGGAAATTCACACTAAACCAAACTTGATATAAAAGTATGATGAACTTAGAGCAACATATAATCTGTAGAATTGATGTTATTTTTAGTTATCTGGAAAATGTGGTCACACAATTTTTCCTGTAGACACTATATTACAAAGTTTTTACACAGAGAATTTCCTCCCCTCTTCTCTAGAAACTATGTTAAAATGCTGTAAAAGACACTGATTTAGTGACACTAAACATCAGTTACTGTCGTTTAGTTTAGAGTAAAATATTATGAACATTGTTTACTGTATACCACTAGTGTAGATTTTATACTTTTTATAGTTGTACCATAGGCTTCATATCATTACATGTTGCTGTTGTCTTAAATAGGTGTCTAACTAGCCTGATCAAATTACATGTTGCTGTTGTCTTATATAGCTGTCTAAGTAGCCTGATCAAATTACATGTTGCTGTTGTCTTATATAGCTGTCTAAGTAGCCTGATCAAATTACATGTTGCTGTTGTCTTATATAGCTGTCTAAGTAGCCTGATCAAATTACATGTTGCTGTTGTCTTATATAGCTGTCTAAGTAACCTGATCACACTACATGTTGCTGTTGTCTTATAT